TGTGGCTCTGACAAAAAGGGAAGAAGTAGGGGAAATGTGTCATATTTCCTTTGGCAGAAACATGAGCCCAGGTTCTTAGTTTACAAAACTGGACCGCAGTGGCGCCTCCCAAGTGTGTGCAGTGCGGGGCAGCTGCCCGGGGTTGGGGGCGGGGAGGCCCCACAGTGGCTTTTTACACAGTGTGCGACAGTCAGATGTCCTTCATGCTGCGTGTAGAGGAAAGCAGCTTCGCCCGCAGAAACGGGAGCACAGCACGAGACTGCGCTTGGGGTCAAAATCATGGGTCTGCAGACCCCCATGTACACGAGCTGCTCGAGTAGGCCGCGTCCGGGGTTGATGGGAGGCTAAGACTGGGGTTCACCGGACCAAAGCAGAGGGTGAAGGCGAGTAGTACTGGAAACCAGGACTGCCGCTGGCTGTTGGGTCTCCTCCCTGGCCCTCGCCTGCAATCCAATCCCGACAGGAGAGCCACAGCCCCCCTCCTACTGAGGGGGCCAGGGTTTCCTCTTGTGACGCCACGAATGGCATATTCTGGATGGTTCCCTCTGTCACAGGCCCTGTGGAGTCAGTAGCACTCCGGGCAAACCAGGGGCCTGGATTCACTGAGCTCACTTTCTTGTTAGGGAGACAAAGGCCAACGGTGGACCTTTAAAAATATAATGGTAACTTCTGAAAGGATTTGGGAAGGAAACAAACAGGGTGAAGTAAAGGAGAGACGGCGGCAGGAGGAAGCCGTCTGGATCAGTGGGTCAGGGAGGGCCTGTGTGGGGAGGAGACATCTTGGTTTGAGGCCCGAGGGGACCTGAAAGAGCCCTCTGGAGCTGGGCCGGGGAAGAGCCTTCCGGGGAGCAAGGGCAGTAGTTGTAAACACCTGGTTGGGAGACGAACAGATTTCCAGGGCTGGGGGGCCTGCAAGCCCCGTGACTGAGGAGAGGGGACCAGACAGGTCTGGACAGGTGAGCTGTCCCCAGTCCCTGAGGGCCTTGTAGGCCAGGGTGACAGGTGTGGATTCTATCCTTCTAACCCAGTGTTCCCTTAACTCATGTCCCTCTTCCCCCAAACCCAAGGAGCTTGGCACCCAGATGGCAGGCAGACCTGGGATTTGGGACAGACGAAGTCCAGGGATTATGCTGCGCCCATCCTGCCGGCTCAGCCTGAGGGAAGCGCCCAGGCCTCCCTGAGTGTGGTTATGCCCAGGAGGGGGGAGGTCAAAATAACCGACAGCGCTAAGGCCTAGACCTTAAGTTTTGCAAGAGGTCTTTAGGGAGTTGGCTGAAAGGACGGTTACGTTTCCCGAGAACTTCACCTGCGTCTTCTCAGGGCAGGAGAGGGTTCTTCCCTGGGGAGTTTGTAATACATGTGAAAGGGCTTCAAGCCAGGCACAAAATAACTCAGGGAAAGTAAATCACCCCCAAGCTGAGGAGCCGATGCTGTGGGGCCTCCCCCTCCAGCCTTCAGGGCCAGATCTGGGAGCCTGCGAAAGCTGGTCTTGGCCTGGTCAGACTCGGGGCTGGCACGGGTGGGCTGCCTGAGCAGAGAGCCAGGGCTGCGGCTCCTTCTGGCCCTCCGCCCGGGGGAGCACCCCCACCGCCCCGCTGTGGCCGAGCAGACAGACGGCAGCTCCCCTCACAGAAGCGCTGGGCGGCTAGGGATCCCCTCCCAAAGTCTGTTGAAGTCTAGGCTGGGGCAGACCCGGGGGATCCTTCATATCGCTGGGCCACGACACGGGAGGCCGCAGCGGGGCCCAGCCCAAGTCAGCCGGTCGGGGAGGCACCCGTCAAGGAAACCTAACACACACAGAGCACGGCCCCCAGTGCGCTTCCGCCAGCTGGCCGTACCCCGCAAAGCAGGACCTCCCAGCCAGGCGTGCCCACGGGTTCCCACACTGCTCTTTTCTCCGCCATTCACTCTGGCCCCCAATCCCACCCCAGTGCTCCGGGCTCTGTGAGGCGCTGTACTCCCCCAATCCACGGCTCGTTGTCCCTCACATCAAGGAAGGGTAAACCCATGACTGAACGGTTTTCATTTTGTCATTTGACAGGGCTGAGAATGCTGAGGTGCTGTCAGCCCCGGGTACCAAGCTCTGAGGACTCTCAGTTCTAATGAGAACGCGCTGTCCGTGGATTCCAAGATCAAACCTGCAGGTAGGTTACACTGACTACATCACTTGGAAATGGACCACTCTGAGGGCTACGGCAGGCTAGAGTCAGCGAAGTAATCCCTGGATCCAGTTCCCAGGTGGATTCCTAGACATAACAGGGGAAATTGGATCCTGACCCCCCAAATGGTAGCCCCCCAGGAGTACTGGGGTGGACAGCTCGAAGGGGGAGTATCTCAGAAAAGCCGCACATAATAAGTTAATGTGTGATAAAAGTGGCATTACAGGGGCACGTGGGTGGCTCAGTGGGTTAAGCTTCTGCCTTCGGCTCAGGTCATGATCTCAGGGTCTTGGGATGGAGGCCGCATCGGGCTCTCTGCTCAGCGGGGAGCCTGCTTCCCCCTCTCTCTCTGCCTGCCTCTCTGCCTACTTGTGATCTCTGTCAAATAAATGAATAAAATCTTTAAAAAAAATGTGGCATTACAGTTCCATGGAAGATTTCCCATTAACCAGCACTGGAGCCGTCAATGAGCTAACTGAAAACAGAACAAAACTGGTATAAGTCCTTGTCTCACGCCACAAACCGAAATAAAGTTCACATGGATCCAAGCGAGACATGTAATGAACAGAAGGAAAAAAGAAAAGCTCTAGAAAAGGGTGAAGATTTGATCTATGACTGAGAAAGAACACTTGGAACTTCAAAGCAAATTGAAATCACAAAAAAAATTGTACGGATTTAACCATATAGAAAGATACATTTCTATATAACATCATAAAATGACAAGTCAATGAGCATAGAAAATACCTGCAATAAATATGAAAGTATTACTATTATGAATATACCAGATGTTCACACAAATAGGTAAGAGGAACAACCCTTGTACAAAGGGACAAAGGCTATGAAGACGTTTCAAGAGAGAAGAACTGCTGATAGGTCAGTGTAGCTTTATACACTCTACCTAAGGTGCGGGAGTTTTCCCTCAGCCAAACAATTCTCGTGACATCAGCTGGTGTCCTATTTAACTCAATTCTGACACCATCTACCTGAAGAGTGTCAGGTCCCACTGGCCAAGGGTTCAGTCTCATAAGCCGCCCCACCCCTGCCCCACCCCCCACTTCAGAGGAGACTTCATTACCTGGCCCCATGGATGACATCACTGGGCACTGGGCGTGGGTGACCGACTCCAGCTGGTCTGCCCCCCTACCCCCACCCCAGATTGTGGGGTGGAGCTAAAAGTTCCCTTCTAATCCCGAGGTTGCTTCTGGGGCAACTAAACCCCATCTATAGAGCCCTGCCAAAAGTCAGCTCATTAACATAAACCCAAATGTGGTTGAAAGGGGTTGTTAACGGATAAAGAAGATACCTTTATCTCTATGGTCACTTACGAAATTCCAAAGGTTTTAGGAACTCTGTGCCAAGAAGGGGAATAAAGACCAAATATATATTCTCCTTATGTAAATCACGGTATCATTAACTAACATGAAAAAAGTCTACACGTTTTGTAATGTGAGCAAAGATATGCCAAGTCAGATAACCTAGGAGTTTCCCTATCAAAATCGCAGGTGAAAAGGTTGTCACAGAGCGCATGACAGACGGTGCGGGGATGGTGGGAACGTTGAACAGCTGAGCAGACTTTCTAAGAGGCAATTTGGCAATTTGCACCGAAACCCCTAAAAATCATTCTTTTTGGCCTAGTTGTCCCACTCAGGAGTTTATCCTATGGCAGCAATCAGAAATGCGATCAATGATTTATATACAGGAACGTTCATGGTAGTTGGTATTTGGCAAAACCCGGGAAGGAACACGAACGCCCACCATTGAAATTAAGACACATCACGGCAATGGAACTCTGCCGACTTTAGAATAAAGTCACGTCTAAAATCACATTCTATGGTACGACTGCAAGAGAGAGACTCAGGAAACATTCTAAAAAGTTCGTGTTAGCCGTGGGATCCGTCTCTGGATGGTGGCAATATGGACAATTGTTCTCTTTTTGCATTGAAAATATTTCCAGAATTATGTGTTGTATTTATGTAAAAGTGAAACTTAAAAAACAAACATAAACAACCTTTATCATTAGGTGAGATAAGGCAGGAGTTGGCTGAAAAGAACACGGGGAAAGGGGAATACGTACAGAATCCAGTCTAATGAACGGAGTCTCGGGTTAGGGCTTGGGGAGGAATGCGGTATAGGGAGAAGATACTGAAAACTGTACAGTAGTTGCCAGGAGGTAGGAAGGAAAGAGGGATCGTGTGTGTTTTCTTTCCTAAAGGAGCCTTTGGGTTTACAGGTGAAGAACTGTAACGGAGGTTCTTAAGGGAAGAGCCCACATTAAATTATTTTAAGATAAGCCCCAGCAGCCCTGAGCTCCCGCCGTGAATTTCCATCAAGGCACGAGGAGCACCGCAGTCTAGTAACAGACGGTCCAAAGATCTCAGACCCCGTAATATTCCGAGTCAAGAACACTGGTCTTTCTGACTGTGTATTTGAAGGATTGGAAGCGTGTTTTTGTAACTTCGGGGACTAGTTCAGCTCCTGCGAGTCCGGGATCTGCTCCTGTCCGGACGCCCGGTTCTGCTGAGCGGCCGCTGTGGCCGCCTCACGCGCCACACACACTCGTTCGTCCAGACTCGGGGCGAGCCCTGGCGCTCACACTTGTCCCCGGGTGTCTCTCACGGGGGCCCCTGGCGTCGCCCGCCCCTTCTCGGGGTTCGGACGCGCCCCGGCTGGCGCTGGAGGGAGCTGGGGGAAGGAGGCAAAGCGGGCGGGGCGGGTCCCGGGGGGCGCGCGGACGCCCACCGCCCTGCCCGGACCCCCGCTCGCGGCTAGGCTGAGGCGGGCGCGGGCTCACGCCGGGGCGGGCCGAGGGCCAGGTGGGCCGCGTGCGGGGCAGGTACTTACGCGCACCCGGGGCCGAGCCCTCGAAGAGCGGAGCGGGCGGGTCTCGGGCCGGCGTCCCCGCGGCGCGCTCGGGAGAGGGGCCGGGGGCGCGGAGCCGAGTGGGCGGACGCGGTCCCTGTCCCGGCGGCGGCCCCGCTCGCACCCGCACGGGTGCCCAAGTAAACAGCGCTCGGAGGGTCGGGCCGTTTGTGCTGACTGGTGCCCCGTCAGCTGATTTCACTTTCATTTCTTCACTTGCCGGGGCTCGTGACTTGTCGGAAAAGGGGGACGCGCGCGGCGCTGCGGGTTGGCGGCCCGTCCCCGCGCTGGAGCCCAGCGCTGCCGACGGCCGGCCACAGCCAGGTGAGTGTCGCCGCGTCGCACACGGACCCGGGACGGCAAACCGCCCGGGATGCGGGCGCCGCGGAAACACGGCCTAGGACTTCATTCAGAGGGGCCCTTCGTCGTCCCCTGGTCTGAGACCCCGGCCAGTTCCCCCGCCTGTCCCTTGCTTTCCCGAAGTCGGCTCTGCGGGATAACGGGGCTTCCCGGGACCGAGCCCAGGTGGCCTCCGCGTTCCCACGGGGACGTGTCTTCCTTCAAAATAAGAGCAGGACGACGCTTTTATTTTGTAATCCTAGGGGGATTGGCCAGAGTTTTAAAAATTGCTTCCTTGGCTCCCAGGACCAGCTGGGAATTCCAATGTGGAGCAAAGCTCGGTTAGGTCGGGGGACAGCTACCCTAGGAATCCTGGAGTCCTTCGGAGTTTCTCTTCCCCTCCCCGGTCCTTCCCATTCCCCGCCTTTGTAGTTCTTTTATTATTTTTAAAAAAATATTTTATTCATTTATTTGCAATTCTTTCCAACTCAAACCTAGAAGGATGAGGTCTAATAGGAAGAAAAGAGGCTCGGGTCAGGGATCTCTGCTGCAGATTCCTAATTATCTACTCAAGCTCTCAGCATCAGGTTCCTCTCTCTGACTGGCCCGGGCACCCGCTCTCCAGGCTGTTCTGGAAACCAGGGCTGAGGTGCGAGAGTGCTTCGCCCTGAGTGCTGAGTACTGGGCTCGCAGCGATGGCAGCTGTTTCCGTTCAAAGCCGAATTTCTAAATATTTGGCGTGACCTTCATGACCATGCCTTGAAGGCAGAGACAGAAATAACTTTCTGGTACAAATATAAAATAGTTACTGTGAAAATCAAACACTGGTGAGTACAGTGATATGGTATTCAAGAGACATTATTTGAAGTTTATTTATTTGAAGTCAGAATACGCAGAGTTTCGATAGAGCCCAGCGTTCGGAGTTCATTGTGGAAAGCAGCAATCCCACGTTCTCCCTCCTTCGCCGGAGGCAAGTGCTTTCTCCTGTTTCAGCGTTTACCTCCGTTCTCAAAAATAACCCTCCCCGGTCCCCACTTTCTGGGTTTTCAGTTTCAGGCCTAATCTATTGATTAACCAATCAGCTGTTACAGCTGTTACAGCTCCCTGACTCTGGCTTCCTCAAGCCTGAGTCTTCTCTTCCTCCTCTGTCCAGACTGGGTATATCAAAAGTTTATTTTCATCAATATTCAGTGTCTGCAGTACTGTCATATGTAAACTTCGCACACAGTAGTGGGGCCGTATAGAAAATTGGTTTGTTTTGTTTTGTTTTTCCTTCCCCGGAAAACTGTTACTCTTCCCTGGAGATAATAATTGCCTTAATTCTTTGTTTGCTTGGAGTCCTCTGCGCTTAACAGCCATCCAACCCGCAAATCTGCAATCTTTTTTCAAGAAATGTGTATGCATGGTACTTGACCTCTTCCCGAGAGTCACTCACTCCGGGAGTGCCCTTGGACCTGCTTCTGCCTTCTGGGCACAGCGCAGTCCTCCTGGAAGGTTCCCCGCCCCCCATCCTAGGGATTCCCTTAGCCTCTGTCTGACTGGGGATCGCCTGTTGCCATTATCAAAGGCTTTTACGGATTTAGTCTTCATTCTGCTCTTAAACTTGATCAATCAAAGGTCAATCGAGTACAGAATTTTAGGTGAAAGTAACTTGCATTTGTAATTTTGAAAGCCTTATTCCACTCTATCTGGCCTCCGTGTTATTTTGTGAGTTTAAAGCTGTTCTGCTTTACAGCTTCCCACATGGTCTCCTCTCCTGTTCTCATCGTGCAGCTTTGTCTTAAACAAAAATGATGATTTTAGTGGGCTTTTGAGAAGGAACAAAATGAAATGTGCCCAGTTGGTCATTTTTAACTGGAAGTGTAATTTTTTTTTTTTTTTTAAACACCCTAGAGGCTCTTTCTAGCAGTCTCTTTCACTGGCTCTGGTAACACAGCTGGTGAGCTTCTCGCTCTAATCAAAGCTACTAGTCTCCTCTTAATTGCTTATCACCCAAATCGCCACTGGTTTTTGTTTTGTTTATTTGTTTTAATTTATTATTACTTTTTTCACCATTGGTTTTGCCTGCCCCCTGGGGGGTGAACTTCCCCACCCTGTTCCAAACACCTCAGTGTACTTGGGGAGAACGCCTGAGCGCTCGGTTTGCCGGCCTGCCCCTCCTCCTGGGGTGGCCGCTGGCCTCTGCGGGAGCATGGTGGGCGTGGGGCAGTCCCTCCCGCCTGGTCCGCCTTCTTCCCTCCCCTGTCGGGGGAGCCAGCCCTGGCAAAGGGGGCCTGTGCGCTCTGGTGCGGTGTAGCGGGGAGGCCCTGACCTCTTGGTTGTACTTGCCCGGAACGGAGTCTCTGTGGCACTGAGGTAGGACCGGAGAAATGCTAGCAGCCGGGCCCTGCCGGGGAGATACCCCAGCCCTTGACTGTGACCTTGGCCACCTGCTCAGGGAGAAGGGAGATTCCCTTTTGCTGAACCAGCGGGAAGGGAGGAGTGGGTATGGCTTAAGTCTGAGATGTAGTAAATTTTCTTTTCTTTTCCTTTTTTTTTTTTTTTTTTTTTTTGGTAAATTTTCTTGAATGTTTCTTCATTTGTTGTATGTCCTTAGGACAATTTCCTGAGACTTGAGGCTTAAAATGAGTGTTTGTTTTTTTAAAACAGTGATGGTATTCTCATATGGGAGCAGATGGAGGAACCTCTTAGGGTGTTCTAGAACTGGGTCTCTGTCCCTTTCTTGTTTTTTAAGGGGAAAAATTTTTTAAAAAAGATTTTATTCATTTGAGACTGAGAGAGAGCGCACAAGTGGGGAAGGGGCAGAGGGAGAGGGACAAGCAGGCTCCCCCCTGAGCAGGGAGCCCAACACTGGGTTTAGCTCCATCCCAGGACTGGGAGATCATGACCTGAGCTGAAAGCAGACACTTAACCATCTGAGCCACCCAGGCAAAAATTTAACTGAATAAAATCTAAGGGCATTAAAGTATCGAATACATGAACAAAGCTGAAATGACAAATTTCAGAAAATTACAAAATAAGAAGCCAATGGTTGTAATTTGCAAGCCGCTTAGTCTATAAATTTAGAACTGATAAGAATACAGATAAGTTTAACTGTGATGTCTTTGTTGTTGTTTAGGTTTTTCATTTTGTTAAAAGGAATAATGCCAATAAGTTTATTGAGGTAAATATTAAGCTACTTCTACAGATTTTGAAGAATATATTGAAATAGTCTCTCCCCCCTGGTTATATCCTGCCTGGTTTTGTAAACTGACAGTGATGGTTTAAGTAATAGTGTAAGTGTAATATTTACATCCTTCCATTCTAGGGGACTCGATGAAATAGAAATAATGTGTCATAATTAAGTTAAACCCATCTATATTTTAAAATGCTCTAGAAGTTATAATTCTCTCAAACTTCAGTAAGACCAAGCAAAAAAATCAAACAGCAGCAATTAAAGTGTTCATCAGAGGTAAATCAAAATTGCTTTTTTAATGTTTTTTTCCAGCTTTATGATGAGTGACAAATGAAACTTGCATCTATTTGAAGCATACAACATGATATTTAATATACATTGTGAAATGATTACCACAATCAAGTTAACTAATATATCCATCACTTCACTTATTTTGGGGGGGTGATAACACGAGATCTCTCTAAGCAAACTGACAGATATAGGGGCACCAGGGTGGCTCAGTCCTTGGGCATCAGCCTTCAGCTCAGGTCATGATCCCAGGGTCCTAGAATTGAGCCCCACATTGGGCTCCCTGCTCAGTGGGAGGCCTGCTTCTCCCTCTCCCACTCCCTCTGCTTATATTCCCTCTCGCTCTCTCTCTCTTGTCAAATAAATAAATCTTTAAAAAAATTGACAGATGTATAAAGAAAATGTGAGAGGCGCCTGGGTGGCTGGGTTCAGTGACTGCCTTCAGCTCAGGTCACGATCCTGGAGTCACAGGATCGAGTCCCGTGTTGGGCTCCCTGCTCAGCGGGGAGCCTGCTTCTCCCTCTGACCTTTCCCTTTTCATGATCTCTCTCTCTCTCATTCTCTTTTTCTCTCAAATAAATAAAAATTTTTTAAAAAATTAAAGAAAAGAGTGATCATATATTACATAATCTTTATCTATGTCCTTCTATATATTGGGATATTACTCAGCCATGAGAAAGAAATCCTATTTGCAACAACATGGATGACCCTGGAGGACACTATTCATTATTTTTTATTTTCTTTTTTGGTTACTTTTTCACAAAAGGAATAGGGTTTGAACTGGAGGACATTATACTAAGTGAAACGAACCAGACACAGATAAGTACTGCATGATCACAAAATGGAATCTAAAAAAAAAAAAAAACCTACAGTAACACAGAATGCAGTTGAGTCTTTCAGAAGCTGGGTTAAGGGGGAAAAGGGGGAGAGATCAGAAGGTAAAGTCCTTCAGTTCATAAGATGAGTCTGGAGACCTAATGTACCGCACGGTGGTTATAGTGAGTCATTAGGCGTTGCGTACTCGAAATCTAACTTACTTTTGAAGAGAAAAAAAACCAGATGTCCTGCCGTGGCTGCGGCTGTTCGGGGTCGGCTGCACTGACCTCTGAATGAGACCTGCATGTGACCCTGGGTCGTTGTGACTTCATGGCCAAGCTGTCCTCCTCTCCTATGGAAGGGGGACTTCCCAGCGTCTGCGGGAGTTTCTCTGAA